GTCTAATGTTGACTGCCACTGATGTGTACTTCCAATTGATTATTAATAGACACCTATGAATATCAGATAGTATGACAGATTCGTCACAATAATTTTCCCAAGACGACATCCCCATTATTTAGTGAGGAGGAAGTTAAATTCAGACAGCTTATTTCTTTGAGATATTGCGTTGTGGAACAGATTCCCGAGGGGATGCTTCACCTATTGACACAATCTTAACCTAGATTTTATTTTTGCTACATATCCTAATATACATCACATAACTCCCCCTCCATGCACAGCCTGACCCCAATGTAATTTAGTAAATTCCCTATCTTGAGTAGTTCTTGGGCTTTTTATTGTGTGAACAATAGTAACAAAAAAGAGAGGAAGAGGAAAATGAAAACTATTTAAAGATTGATAGAGATACTTATGAAAAACACGTGACTGAGATGATAGAGAGATAAGTTTGAAGGTTCAGTGAGTTCTGTCATATTAGGTGTCGCACATCTGTGACCTTTTGTCAGACTAATCTATGCTTTGAAATAAATATGAGGGTGTGTATTGTACAGTACTTAACAGAAATTAAGATCAAGGAAAGAAAAGATTTGATCAAATGCAATTTCAAATATAAAGGTTTTTGATCGGCCAGAAGAAAGATGGATTCAAGATTTTGCCAGCCGGAGAAGCCAGAAATTACAGGTCGGTAAATTTGATGGGTAAAGCTAACATGTCTTCATAGGATATTTTGCAAAAAAAAAAAAAAAAAAACACATGCGAGATTTCGTTGATCTCATTCACTATGCCATCGGGCTGAGAATATAAAATTATAAGGGACTCTCCTGGTCTTAGGGTTTCCAACACTACCCACAGCACCTCCCCTCATAGCACTAAAGAAGGAACATAAATGAATACTGACCGCAGCACGTGATTGGTCACGAGGACTGGACATTTTCTTACTCGTCTCATATGCACTGATTGAAAATCATTGAAAACGACCTTGTGTAGCATATTTAACAACGTCGGGAAGTGGGTGAATGCTTTCATCCTTATATGGGTCAGCTTGGCGTGTGTAAAATTATTAACTATACCCTCATGAAGACATTAACCCATGAATTACGTATTCTTCCTGAAGCGTTTCCAAAAAGTACCTCGGTAGTGTGTGTATGGGGGGGACTTTTAAATTTTTTTTATGTTGTATGCGAGGGGACGCATTTTTACATATATATGCCTGGCTATAGAGATGGCATAAAAAAGGTGGTAGGTGTCGTCACTTCCTCTTAAAATTAATAGGGAAAGCGATTCAAACCCTACGGTAACACCTTTCTCATGGCACTAAAGAAGGAGGTTTAGACACTGTGACAATTTTCACGGGGTCAGTTTTTGTCCTTGATCCATAACTCCGTGTATGGAAACCCACATAAAAAAAAACGACAGTGTGTTAAATAGCGGATCAGTGTTTAATGCCTGTTCCACAATTTAAATTATGTGCGAAAGATGGATTTTACTTCTACGGCAGCATCATTATTATTGAATTAAATGTAGGATAGTCGGGGGAATAATCTTTGTATTTAGCCCCCGTTACCCCCATATTAAACTGACCTACTCCCACATCCTTTTTACTGTAAAAAAGAGTGGAGAAGCTGTACTCTTTTCTGCTGTATTTTTCCTTCACGGGGGTCGTGGGTTTGTAGTGAGGGCAGCTAGGTACCTGGAATTCGAATCATTATACCCTTCTTCCTAGCACTAAAGTCTAATGGTTATTAAATAAAATCGAAAGCGTATCACTGGTCGCGCTGACTTGCCATTTTTGTCCTTAACAACTATCTACGCGTCTAAATTAAACGGATCAGGTGTCAACATCTTGTCATTGTGGGTAGGTAGGTCAGTGCCGGTTTTGCATATTGGTCATTGTGAATGTGACGATCATACAGAACCAGTACTAACCCTAACCCTGACTTACCACTGAATGAGTAATCACACGGAAGACTGTCTCTTCTTTTTTCGAGGGGGGGCGGTAAAAACCGACTAAATATTTTTACAGGCGAGCACGCATACATTTGTGCGTAAGTAGATGTAAAGATTTCTCAGTTATTCTGGTACTGGCACAGGCTTAAGATTATACTCACAGACTATGCCTCTTTTAATACAGTTGGGAGGTATTCAATGCGAGACGGATATCCAGGAAACAGGCTTTTATAATTTTTTCATGCAAAAAAAAAAGAAATAGATAGGAGTTCTAATTTGTCTGGGAAAATGTCAACCAGGAATCGGTTGCTATTTTAAAATATTGAATTTGGTGGTAGATTTGTCACACTTACGAATCATATCAGCTTTCATTCCAACGGGAAGGAACTCTTCCAGAAAACATAATACTCTTAAGACTCGTGATTTCTGTATTTTTTCTTTCATTATACACTAACCGAAAATAAATTTACAAGACCTCAAATATTTGTTTTATTTTCCTCAACATTCACTGTACTGTCAATTTTAATACATTACTATAAGTTAACGTGCATATCGTTCAATACATGATATTCTAAAATGAAGGGTTTATCAAGTGCATCCAAAGACCCTAATGCAATTATTCCATTGTGTCTGCTCAGGCAATAAAGCATTAATCGAAAATGTTCAACCTGAACACATCAGTCATCGCCAAATCATGTCTCACGCGTGTTCCGTAAAGAAAAGTTTTGAAAATTTCATCAGTCATCGCAGTTTTTAAACATCTTGGAGAACAGGTAGTGTAGAATCGGCAAGGTTTACAAACTTTTGAACAAACAAAAAATGGTCTTCCTGGTACAAGAATGGCACAACGGATTAAAAAAAAATGTATGCGGCGTAAATGTTACTGTTCACTGTTTTCTCCACAAGTACGAACAGAAATCGAGATTTGTAACTTATAAACATTCATCATCAAGGTACTATCTGTTAGGGTATGCTTGTTCTAGATGATGATATTCTGGGTGTTATCACCCCACCCCCGCCATAGTTCTCTGTTGCTGAAGTATAGTGAATGAAGAATATGCTATTACCATTGAATTTACATAAAGTTCTTTCATCACAAAAGTAAGATCTTGATGACGTGCAAAGATAGGGTCATGGTGCATGCGGGTGTCTGGCTACAGGCACACATGGTTGAGGTTCTGCTTCAATTTAACGATCCTCAAAAAACCGTTCACATTCCTGAGGACTACATTTCTGATCTAGTTTATGCCATTGGGTCTAACCTGCTTTCATATTGTGTGTGAATAATGTTGAGTATTATTATTAGGCAGTTGTTTATCAAACTTATCTACAGATGTAGTAAGGTCCACCTTACCCAATATCGAAGCGATTTCTTGCACTGGGCTCTTTCTCATCATTGAAGATTGTCGCTGAATGCGTTACCGTCCAATACGCAAAGCAGATAGTGCAGTGCTAAAAGCGTTACTATGGAGCAAGATAGCCGAAGACTGATCATTTTATCAGAATATCTACATTACACTAACATGACCAAACAGATCAGAATTGGCATCGCCTTTTAGAGCAATGTAAATTTATTTTCCATCTATAGACATGTATATATTGATTTACTAAAATCGTTTTGCTTTTTATTATGAGTGGTCTTGCTATTGTTTAAGAGCCATGTCCTCCCACCGCCTCAAACTCACCGGTTTCCCGGCAAGTCACACACTCGTCTACGTATCTGTGATTATTACACACACGACGTAAAAAAAAATGACAAAGATTTTTTGGTTACCTTATAGACGATATTCATTGTTTTCATTACCTAAATATCATTATTCAAATTTTGTTTGAATGAATTTAAGCTCTCTCTATATAAATGTATTTTATGTATATGGATGCTTTTTCGGTAAAAAACATTCTACAGATTGCGATGGGAAAATTGTTGTTTAATTTATGCAAAAATGAAAATAACACTGATATCTCATTTTAACAGATATATTTACCAAAATTACATAAAGATATCATGAAATACTAAAGACTAAATTTATTCAATAAAATCGCCATTGGCTTCAACAACGGCCTCCAGACAAATTCGAAATCTCCTGCAACTCTTCTGGATGGTCTCCATGTTTAAGTTGGTGAATGCTATCATAATCCTTGCCGTCAGTTCATCTTTGGTGTTACAAGCTGTTTTTTTGGTCTGTCGCTCAACTGTGTGTCACACATAATAATCAAGTGGGGGTTGCAGTCTGGGGAGTTAGGTTGCCAGATGTAAGGGATGATGTGGTCGTAGAAATCGCCTGACAATCATTACTGTGTTTTCCTGCTTATGTGGCATGATGCTGAGTCCTGTTGCCAGACATAGGGTCTTCCAGCAGCCACCCTCCTGACCCAAGTCAGCAATAACTCCTCAAAACATTTAATGTAGACCTCAGTGTTGAGTCTGTGGAATTTCGAATTGCAAACAGTAATATTTATTTAAAAAAATGTTTCACTTATTTCAAACGAAACTGATTTTTCGCATTCATCTTTTCTGAAATGAAAGTTACATTACCAAAATCGTATTTCTTAATCTGTAATCACGTCTATAATTAGCTTCATTTTTTCACAAAAGAAGAAGAAGAAACAATAAAGGTCAACGGTCTGAAAGTGGGAATGGCGATCAGAGTTCAAATACCAACTGAGATTCTAAGGTTTACTTTCGAACAAATATTTTGTGCATAGGCATAAAAAAAAATATGAATTAAATAGCAGGGTAGTTTGGAGTTTATATCCATATAAAACCAATCTATTGATTGATAGATTAATTCGATTTCAGCGGCTTATGAACACTTTGTATGTTATTTAGAGCCGGAAAATATTTTTAGTTTGTATGAATATTTGTGGGGAGATAATAATGATTTAGCGATACAAGGTTTACTAATTAACCCATAGCTGGGGAGAGAAGAGGTGGATTCATTTCTTTCTCAAGGGTATTTGCGTATAAGTGAATATAAGGAATCCCGCGAGAATTGGAATTGATTAATTATCAATTCCGAGACATTATCCATTACACCACCCGGACATCCATGCTTACAGCACCTGATATTTCCATGCGGTCACTCATCTAGGTACTGACCAGATTCGACGGTGCTTAACTTCAGTGATCATACGAGATCCGGTGTTTCATCCTGTTATGGCCGTAAGCCTTAACCAGTTTAGGCGAACAGAAACTTTATATTCCAATCCGCATGGAATGTAACGCGAAAACTCTCCTTCTTTTCAAGAAAGTTATGGCAATTGTGTATGTTGTAAATCATGATCGGCTACATCCCTATAGGTTCTTGGTATGAACCAATATTATTTTACTAATTTTTTTCTGTCGTCTTTCATTGCTACTGAGTAGTGAGCTCATTCTTCCCTAGGTGTCACATACTTCTGACATTAGAATAAATAAACTTAGTAAACAGTAATTACTTACTGTGTTTCGTTATGAAAAGTGTTTCAAGTTGCTGTTATATAAAAATATTCACATCGATTCATATATAAATAAAGAAACATATTTGTTCATCTAAAATGAGAGACGCATTTAAAATACTTATCTTCTTTGGTTTTCAGGTCTTTTATTCTTTCTTACAAAGTCGTCTAGCAAAGGGATTAGCACACTAGACTTGGGCGGATTATTAATACCCTAATGTTCCGTCTTTGGCTACTTTGATAATACTATCCGTTCGAGGCGACGTCAATCCTCAGTGGGAAACGCAATCTAAGATAAGTTTAATATACATCGGATCTGAAATTATTAAGCAAATTATATAAACTTCAATGATTCAAATTTGGTTTTAGAAAAAATTGATACAGTCAAAATGTCAAATTTTAAACAATCCATTTAGAGTTCAAAACAGTTGCTGAGTTAAAACTTTAGTTATTATCAATAAGTTTTATTGAAGTTATTGAAGTTATTTGATGTATTCTAAAATCTGATGTCTGAAGTTATTCGAAAAAACTAAGTACTCATACTACTCATCTTCAATAATAAGGTATATAATAACTATAATAGACCAATTAATATACATTTGATAAGAGTTTCAATCCTTTACATTTTAAAATAGTAACCCTTCTTCTTAATAATAGCCAGTAATTTATTATTCATGGATTTTGTTAATTTTGTTTTTTTACTTGAGAAGGTACAATTTCGAACATGGAAAATTTAATTGCTTCTCATAGGTCTGTCACCTTAATATAATTTCATCTTCACAATTAACCATAGATTTTCGATCGGATTCAGATCAGGATATGATTGTGAGCTTTATATTATCTGATCTTCTGTAAATCTTTTATGATGAGAGAATCCCCAGGTGAGCTTAGATATACGAGAAGGAACATTGTCGTACATAAATAGAGACTTACTTTGACACTGCAAGACTAGGACTTATACCATGTAAAGAAAATCTTGTGCATAAAATCGCAATAGTTCCCTGTTCATGCTTCAGTTTAAGGGCTTAATCGAATTTGAAAGTTTCAGTAATGGTTTGATCGACTATTCGGGCCTCTTTACTGCCTTCTTTTAGACACAGGCATGTCTGAATTGTATGAATCAATCCTTTAGCTATTCATCAAGTCCATCAAATGTCACTCGAGATTCGTACGTTTATTATTTGGTCCTATTTTCACACTTTAATGTATTTACTTTAGTAAGAGCAGGTTGCCTAGGCAATTTATGTATAGAGCCCAATTCAAAATATTCAATAATTTTGTCCTTCTTGACTTCCTCAGTTTCAGCATTTTTTCAAGTATCTCAGCGCTGCTCAAAAGTGTTTCTTTTAACTCTCGCTTTAGTTTGCGTTCATTTCAAGGAAGAAACAAGTTCTCAAAGCCTTTTTCTACACTTCGAGTTCTGAACATTTTTTCAAAAGCCTTCTTTACCGTTCGATGGTATCTACAAAGCTCCTTTGGTATCGCCAGTGTAGACATCCCTTTCTCAATAACTTTGTTATTTTCTGTTTTTCAGCAGATGTTAAATAGGTTCTTCCCTTTACTCATGTTTTATTAGGGACAAAAAGAAAAAAAGACATTTGTATTAGATTTCAGACTTCATAAGCTAATACAAGTTAAAATTGCATAATAACATCACTCAGTCCATTTTCGGAAATTCCAAACATCTCAAAAGCCAAACATTAATTATGGCAGAAAATTTTATTAAACATTTTACCAAAGTTAAAAATGGACGAGTTTAAACTTGACAAATATTGGTTCAGAATCTTTTGTGTTATTGAGGTTTATTTGATTTGCATAATAATTTCATACAAGTTGTAGGCCATCAGGTTTAACGACAATAGGATAGGGAATAAACCTGTCTTGCAGATCAGTTCGTTGTTTTATTGAATTATATTCTCAATGAATATCTATTTAACAAAATATTCACTGTAAAAATCCAAATGTTAATTATGGAAATTAAAATATAGAACCGAATTTAAATTACAGGATTTTAAAAGATGAAGCTACGCTTCTGCGGGTCTTTTTTCATTTAAACGTCTCTCAATTCCCTTCTTATTCTTCGGATATCCATGTCTCAATGTACTTGTCTTTGTTGTATGCACTTGTTTTGTTTTTTCTCTTTCCTTGTGTGTGTGAGCTATCGACCATACAAGAAAACAAAAGACTTTGTTTTCATCATCAATTTGACAGTGTCATATCAGTTTGAATTGTGCTACATGACAATGTTAGTTCAGTCTGCGACATTGGAAATCACGTCGTACAGGTCCATCAAGACCGCAAACAGACGTGTGTGAACATGTTTACGAAGCTATTCAGGTTCACGATTGCTACAAAATTATTAACGTCTTCAGTGAGTGTCTCATACTTGTAGAATTGAACCAGATTTATATGTTTAGTAAGTGATGATCAATAAATTAAACAGAAAAATATTATAATTCTACAGATAACTGGTGCAATTTTGTAGAGTACTACACGTACAGCAGGTAATTACTACTGCTATTATTAACATGGTAGATTATACTTTAATATCGCATACACAATAAACATTTTATATGGGGAGTTGAATCAATAATTCCGTAAAACTTGTTACAAAGCTACCTGAATTTTAGTCTGTAACTATTAATGTCTAGTCTTTTATCAAACTGATTATTATTTACCAATAAATTTCAGAACTTTACAAGGAATAGATTATGTTGAAAAGGCTTGTATTCTGATTAGTCATCATAGGTTATGTAACCATGTTTCCCCTACTGAAGAGTATTGGATGTTTTTTGAACTCTTAAAACCCTTTATTTTGCAATCAACACCATCACTTGACATTACATTAATTTTAAAACAAAACTGCAATTTTTGTAGTGATGTTATAAAATGCATATGTTATAATTTTGAATATATATATATATATATATATATATATATATATATATATATATATATATATATATATATATATATATAAATATATAACATATAACATATGTGATATTAGAAAACGCATATATTGTTTTTGAATATATATATAATATATATATATATATATATATATATATATTTATATATATATATATATATATATATATATATGTATGTGTGTGTGTGTGTGTGTGTGTGTGTGTGTGTGTGTGTATGGGGAGTACTGTGGGGTAATGGATAGCTGCTTGGTATTGAGGAATCGGAGGCCGATTTCAATTTCAGTCCAATCTATTACATTTAATACACGTACTATTACTCTTGGGAATGGTATTAATCCTCTTTTTCCCTCCAGGGTAAATAGCAGGACAGGTGAATGATAATTCTGAATTCAAAACCTGCGAATAGTCGTTTGCGTAGTGCACCAGGTCTCTCTATTCATCCCTCTAAAAAGTGGTTGGTTCTGCACAAAGCTTTCACCACTGTACTCAAAAAAATATGTGCTTCTGTCTAGCTGTCGTTTCCCTAGGTAATGAGATGCTTGACATTTATACACCGAATACGAAGGGAGAGCACACAATATATATATATATATATATATATATATATATATATATATATAAATATATATATTCAAAATTATAACACATGCATTTTATAACGTCATTACTGATATATATATATATATATATATTCAAAATTATAACATACCTTTTATAGCATCACTACAAAAATTACAATACACACACACATATATATATATATATATATATATATATATATATATATATATATATATGTATTTTTTGTGTGTGTTTGTGTGTATGTGCTTCTGTGTGTGCGTGTAGTTATATATATATATATATATATATATGTAAGATAACGATAATATATTTTTTATATATGAAGAAGAATATTGAGGAAAATGCATGACAAAATGTAAAAGGTTTTTGTGTGGCGTGTTTCGTTCTTTAGGGATTATTTTTTTAAGTTTTCACCCCAAGCAAGGCGGGAGTGCCACTAGAACGGAAGGGGTTACAGAAAGTGGACCCAAGAGTCAAAAGGTATGAAAGAGAAAAGGATGAAGAGAAGAACCATCTGGAGTTGTCGATTGACAATGCATTAGAATAGTTGGGGATTACAGCTATAAGGGAAGAAAGTAAGAGGAAGAGAGTTCCAAAGACGGAAAGGGAAAGATATAAAGCTTTTGAAATAGAAGGTACGACTATATTTAACCGTCAGTGAAAGAGTAAAACTGAGATGCCGTCCTAGTGACACGTTTAAATTCATGCAGGTTGGGGAACTAGTGAAAATAGAACGTTGGTGTAGTTACCGTGAAAGTATTTGTAGAATAGAACGGGAGGCGACGTCAGGGAGAGAACGACTGTAAAAGAGACGCCAGATCAGGACCAACCACATTGTGTAACAGTCTCTGGATTCAATGAAAAACTCTATGGTTATATATTGTATGATTTTTTAAATTTTATTACGTAAAAAACGAAAAGAAAATATTAGTTAAAACCTAGAAATTTTAAACTAGCTACTGTAAGCATTTTAAAACATTTGTGCAGTATTCCTAAATGATTTTAAAAGGTTGGTTTCAAATGTTTAATATAGATAACTTCAATAATTTTTAGTTTATGTTTATTATTTTTCATGAAAACGTATAGTTGTATAATTCGCAAGAATTTTTCTAGCTTTCAAATGTGGACAGACATGAAATTACCAACGTTGAGAAATGTTAGATGCATCATTCAAATAAAAGCTCAACGTTCTTGAGAGTGTAGTTATTGTATGG